GGGGCGTTGCCCTGTAACCTGCAAAAGGCAGGAGCTTGAGGCCTTGTAGAGAGATCTGGGGTTTGCCAAGGGAGGAAGGCATTCCAGTGGCGAACCAGGGGGGGCTGCTATGTGGCAAGAAGGGAGCGGCTATGGGTGATATCGGTTAGGCTAGTATTGTCTCTCAGTTACAATGTCCTGATACAGGCAGGGCTAGGAGTTGATCTAGGCTTAGGAGGCCAGAAGGGCAGATGTCCTAATCATCATCAGCAGTAGCATCATCACCATTCACCATCATCATATCATTAGCATCATCAGAAGTGGGACGCTGAGCCCGGTTCTCAGCAAGCTGGGTTCGGTTACTCAGGGTAGACTGTGAGGACCCCGGCCTCAATCATCTTATTGATAATATCAGCCTTGGGCACTGGGCCCGGTTAAAAAATAAATAAATTAATAATAATAATAATAATAAAAAATCAGCGAGTAACCTCCATCTCCCCTTCCTCAACAGCACCTACTTACCTCCTTCCCCTCAAACCCTGCCCCAGCATCTTCGGGGAAGGAAGAACCCTTCCTCCCACTGCTAGCTACTAAGGCTCTGGGCACTGCTAACACCGAAAACATCGACGGCCATCTTCGACCCCTGAAAAGAATAAAAAACAGTGTGGCACCTCCTCACCAAGCCTGTTGGCGACTCACCACAGGGGGTTCGACACCTCCAAAAAATCCGTGTTAACTTACACTGCTGTCGAAGAAAGGGGAGACTCTTCCTACCACGGTAGATCGTTCCTCGTTTCAGTGATCATGCACATGTCCTGTCTTTTTATGTTCACATGCTGATGCCAATCCGATAGCATTGATGGATCTGATGTCTAGCTCTGCTTTTGCAAGCACTCGGGCCCGAGGACGTACTCGTCTAAAAAGGGCGGGAGTGCAACGAGCGCGAGGTTGAGGGAGACAGGGAGAGCCGAGGGAGAGGAGAGGGAGAGAGAGAGAGAGAGTGAGAGCACACACACACACTCACTCACTCGACACGACTGAGGGTCGGACGCAGACACAGTGGCAAGGACACAAAGTCGAAGTCTTGGATTCCGAATGCCGAACAGGAGCAAGTCCCACTGAGTACGAGTACAGCAGCTGAAAACTGGTATGAGACTGGTCCCCGTACCGTACGGGGAGCCAGTATAAGTACCGGTGACATGTACGGTACCAGGGGCATTTCTGCAAAGGCCCCGAGGGCAGAACTGAAAAATGCGGTATTTGAAAGTGGCGCCCGAATTGCAGCATGGCGCCAGTTGTCCAAAATCCTACGGTACCAAAGGAGGGGTTTGGAAAAAGGGTGCCAGGCCGAAAATGGGATGCAGCCGAAACAGCAAAAAGATAGACCAGGGATCGAGCCCTGGCGGAGTCCGTAACACTATCCCCTCCCTCTAGAAGGCAACGTCCCGGCTGTCAAAAATCATGATGCTGAAATCTGTGAAGGACGGGATGGGGCCGATCACTGGTTAGCACGTCGAAAGGGGATAGGGGTATAATGTGGGTGGCATGGGCTGCGTGAGTAGGGAACAAGGTTTGGTACCGGTGAACAGAGTTGTCCTACTGATGAACTAGGGGGGTTGCAGGGAACAGGGTAGTCCTACAAATGAACTATATGGACCACAGGGAGCAGGGTAGTCCTACTGATGAACTAAGGGGACTGCATGGTTTGCTATAGGTTAAGGGGGAACAAAGTTCAGGGAACAGGGGACTTCTATTGAGGTTCTACTGGGTAAGGGAAACAATGGTTAGGGAAACAGGGATCTGCTAATGATGAACTAGGGGTGCTGCAGGGGGAACAGGGTAGTCTTATAGATGGTTGATAAGGGTGAAGAGGTAACAGGGTTTCCTATTGATGATCTACAAGGGAGAGCAGGTAACAGGGTTTCCTATGGATGTTCTACAAGGGTGAACGGGTAGTTCAGTGGAAATTCTACAGGGTTATAGGTTGTCAGGGGACGAAAAAAAAAATAAAAATTGTTTGTTGCAAGGTTCAAGGGCACAGTTTGCATGTACAAGGGCTGGGATGTTTGATGGGCTGTGGGTACAGAGTCGGAGGTCTGCAATGGGTCACGGGGTCTGGGGGAGGACTTCAAGTGTCTTGATCGGCAGCAAGAAGGGGTCTTCGGGAGTCTTGAGCAGTCCCAGGTCAGCGGCAGCAATAGAGGTCTTGGTCAGGTCGATGATGGAAGCAAGGCGAACTGCAAGGGTCTTGGTCAGGTCGATGATGGAAGCAAGGCGAACTGCAAAGGTCTTGGTCAGGTCGATGATGGAAGCAAGGCGAACTGCAAAGGTCTTGGTCAGGTCGATGATGGAAGCAAGGCGAACTGCAAAGGTCTTGGTCAGCGGCAAAGGGGGTCTTCAATGGTCTTCGTCAAGAAGAAACAAGATGCTGAGTGTTGATGCGTGGAAAGTCAAGAGGTCCATGTTCGATGGCTGTGGGCACGTCCGGTACATGATCTGCAGTGGAGTCTGATCCGGTAGCAAGGAAGTCGTAGACTGGTACATGGTTCATGTCACAAGTAGCTGCTCCAGGGAGTCTGCGAGGCAGGGTGCCGGCCAGGTGTAGCAGCATGATGGCCAATCCAGCTGCATAATCTCCATGAACAGTGGTGCAGCAAGCCATCGTCCTCGTGCGCATGCCATTAGATCCTTTATCGCCGGCGTCACGCAGGTCCACAAGCATTGGACAAGATGGACAAGGAAGTGGGGAGGCTGATGGGGCAGGGCAAGGCAAGGGACAAGGGCAGATCAGATATCAGGAATCGGGGTCAAGGGCAAGGGTGGCTGTGGCAGGGGTGTGTGTAGAACAAGGTGGCGAGGTTGTAGCAGGGTTTAAGCAAGGGTTCAGGGTTTTAGCCAAGGTATAGGCAGTGGGATAGCTAGGATGCAGGGTGGGAACGATCATAGGCACGAACAAGACTCATGGCATTCTTGAGATTTTCAAGGGGTTCCCATGTTGATTCTTCATCCGGGTAGCCTGTCCACTTGACTTTGTATTCTTTAATTGGTTCCGGGTGATCAGTGACTTGGGTTGTTCTACGGCCAATGATGGATTCCACAAAGAATTCAGGTCCAATGGGGAGCATGATAGGAGGGGGACGAGGGTGAGGGCGATCAGAGAACTGTGACGGGGATTCATGGTATTCTTTGAGGTATTCGACATGGAAGACAGGGTGGACACGGCTCATGTCAGGGGGAAACTGGAGTTTGTAATTAACGGGGGAGGTTTGTTCAATGATGGGGAAGGGACCGAACCACTTGTTTGAGAGTTTCTTGGACAAGCCCTGTTCGGGTTCAAAGCGTTTGGCGGAGAGCCAGACCTTGTCCCCGACTTGGTGATATCACGTCGATGCTTGTTGGCTTGTTTAGCTTGTTGTTCCTGGGTGTGTTGAATTGACTCGGTTGCTTCTCTTAGGAGATGGTTCATTGTTGCAACCCATTCATTGAGAGAGGGGCAGGGGGAGGATGGGTTGAGTTGAGAGGGGAGCAAGAAATCAGAGTGCAAGCGGGGTGATAGCCAAGGTCAAGGTAAAAGGGGGACATGCCGGTGGAAGGGCAAACGACATTGTTGTAGGTAATCTCGGCGGCGGTGAGCAACTGATCCCAATCATGCTGGTGAGGATGACAATACTTCCGCAGGGTTCTTTGGAGAGTATCGTTCAGATTCTCGGTTTGTCTGTCGGTCTGTGGGTGGAATGCAGTGCTATACCTGAGCGAGGTTCCGTAGGCATGGAAGAGTTGTTTCCAGAATTCGGAGAGGAAGCGGGGGTCGCGATCACTGATGATATTCTCGGGGAGGCCGTGGTGTCGGGCGACATGGTCGAAGAAGAGAATGGCAATGTCTTTGGCATTGTGCGAGGTGGTACAAGGAATGAAATGAGCACGTTTGGTCAGGCGACAAACAATGACGTAGATGCAATCATGCCCACGGTCGGTCTTGGGAAGACCGCACACGAAGTCCATGGAAACGAACTGCCATCAGTGCATGGGGATGGACAATGATTGGAGCTTACCAGGTTGGGCCCGGTTGGAGGGGTTGACAGCCTGACATGTGGGGCACGAGCGGATGTAGGCTTTGACGTCGGCAAGGATAGAAGGCCAATGGAAATATCGGGACATGGTGTCAAAGGTTTTCTGAAAACCAAGGTGGCCAGTGGTCTTGGCGTCGTGGTGCTCGACCAAGAGTCGGGTGCGGAGGCCACGGGCGTCAGGGATGCAGAGTTGGCGAGTGCCTTTGGTCTCGATGTAAAGGAGGTTGTCATGTAGGGAGTAGTCGGGGATGGGGTCAAGGTCGCGGGGTTTGTTGTAGATGGTGGAGAAGTCGGGACAAGAGAGGTATCCTTGGGTGTAGTGATGGCGGAGCGATAGCAGAAGCTGGATGTGGGTCATGGCGGCATAGACTTTCTCGGGGGGGTTGTGATTGGGGCGGCGGGAGAGGGCATCGGCAACGCGGTTGCTCTTGCCAGGGGTGTGACAAATGGTAAAGGTAAATTGGGCAAGGAAGTCTAGCCAGCGGGCTTGGCGTGGGGTGATGTCTTTCTTGGTCAAGATGGAGGAGACGACGGTGTTATCGGTACGGATGGTGAAGTATTACCCGTCGAGGTACGGGCGCGAGACTTTGAGGGTGTAGACCACGGCGAGGAGCTCCTTCTCGTTGGATGGGTAGTTCATTTCTGCGGGAAGGAGTTTCTTGTTGGCGAATGCGATAGGGTGCTCGCCGGGTGGGCATTGGGAGTGAGTGGGGGAGTCCTTGATGGAGGGGGTTTCCGCGGGGTCGTGGGAAAGGTGCTCGGATAAGACGGCCTCGATGGCAAAGTCGGAGGCATCCGTGGTGACGAAGAAGTGGCGAGTGGGGTCGGCGATTTTGAGGACAGGGGCAGTGGTGATGAGCTCCTTGAGTTTGTCGAAGGCGGCTTGGCGGCGGTCTGTCCAAGGGAAGGGTTCGGTGACACGGGTGAGCTCATGGAGAGGGTAGGAAACGTCGGAAAAGTTGTGGATGAAGGGGCGGTAGTAGTTGGCGAGTCCCGTGAAGGAGGAAGTTGGGTTAAAGTGGTGGGAGGGGGGAACTCGACGAGGGCAGAGACCTTTTTGGGGTCCATGCGGATGCCGTCGGTGGAGACAATATGACCAAGGTATTCTACGCTAGAGGCATCAAATGTGCATTTGCTGAGCTTGGCATAGAATTTCTGGTCGCGGAGGATGGCGAGAACTTGGCGGAGATGATCAAGGTGGGACTCGAAGTTGGGGCGAAAAACAAGGATATTGTCGACGTAGATCACGACACAGACTTTGAGGAGGTCGCGGAAGATGTGGTTCATGGTGGATTGGAAGGTGGCGGGGGCGTTGGTGAGACCAAAAGGCATTACGAGAAACTCGTAGTGCCCGAAGCGGGAGCGGAAAGCGGTTTTGTGGGTGTCCTCCTCGCGGATGCGGATCTGGTGGAAGCCACTGCGGAGGTCAATCTTGGTGAAGTATTTGGCTCCACGGAGGCGATCAAGAAGGTCGGATATCGGGGGAAGCGGATACTTGTTCTTGATCGTGATCTGGTTCAAGGTGCGGTAATCCGTGCACATGCGGAGTTCCGAGGTGTCGTTCGTCTTGACGAAGAGACAGCTGAGGAGCTAGGCTTAATGGATCCTTTTTCAAGGAGTTCATTGAGCTGGTGCTTCATTTCTTCGGCCTCGGGGACGGAGAGCTGGTATGGGGGGCGGCAAGGGGGGGAGTGGCCGGGCTCGAGATCGATGATGTGGGAAACACCTCGGTCGGGAGGAAGTCCGGCGGGCAAGGATTCAGGAAACACGTCTTTGAATTCGGATAGGAGGGTGGAGATCTGAGGGTCGGAGGAGGGGTCTTGGTCGGGTTCGTCTGTTGGAAGCAAATCCTCGGGACGGTCGCGGTCAATAACAAGGCAATAGTAGGCGGAGTCGGGGTGCTCACGGATCATGTGAAGAAATTGGTGAGGAGAGACAGGGGAAGATGTGGAAGGAGGGAGAAGATAGGGGATGTCAAGGGGTGGATCGGGAGGGGTGGAGAGGCGGAAGAAAGAGGGGTGGAAGGTATAGGGTATGTAGCGGTCGAGCCAAGGAGTCCCGAGCACGATGTCGCACATGAGGTGCATGACATCGACGGAGACCTGACTGCGAAGAGGGCCGACAGTCATTGTGGTCTCAGGGACTGTGCGCTCGGCGACGATGGCCGAGTCCTTATCCCCTAGGCGGATGGTGATTGGGGAATCATAGCCGGTGGAAGAGAGGCCGGCTTTGCGGACACAGGCATCCGTGATGAAGTTGCCAGTGGCACCAATGTGGAGAAGGGCCCGAAACTTCACCGTCGATGCTCCAAAGGAGACGGCAACGAACTTGAGCTGGAACTGGGCGGTCCCGACACAAGCGGAGGAGATCATGGCATTGAGGCGGCGCTGCTCGAGGCCTAATCTAACAAGCAGAGCGTGTCGGTCTTGTTCCTCAACGAGATCGGAGAAAGTGATGGTGGAGGGGTTGGAGAGGAGGGTAGTGGAACATGTGCCCGTGGGGTGCTCAACCGACGAAATAGAGCACGTCGTCGGGAGGAGGGCAGGCGGAGTAGACTGCGACGCCTAGGGGGTGTGCGGTGTGAAAGTCATCACCGGCATAGGAATTGTTGATGCCAGGACATAGCTACAAGGGGCAGGGGGACAGTGTTCAAGTGGAGGAGGGCCCACAGGCCGCGGTGGAGGAGGAGGTAGTGGATGTGGGAGGGCTGGATCCGGTGGGGCGGGAAGCCTGGTGGGTGGAGCGGCTGGCCTTGGGGCAATTGGTTTGCTGATGCCCCAACTGACGGCAATGGAAGCAACCGCCGTCGGCCTGGAGGAAGGTGCACTCGGCGGGGGTGAGCTTTTTGAGACGAGGGGGTTGGGGGGAGGAGGAAGGCTGGGAGGCCAGGTGTTTCCGTTCCATCCTCATGAGATGGACAACCTGGAAGTCTTCCTCGGTGAATTGGGCTGGGTCAAGGGACTCGGGAGAGGAATCAAAGCCGTCGTCGGAGGGGAGTGACGAGTCGTCGGAGGCCATGTTGTGGAAAAACCGGGTGCGGTTGGGGCCGGCTGGTCGTTGAGAGCGGAGGTGAGGAAGGCGATCATGGTGGAGAAGGCGGGTAAGGAGATCGGTGAGAGGGAGCTCGGGCTCATGGGCGAGGGCTGCGACGAGGTGGAGGAAGCATACCCGCTTGATGCGGGAGATGAAGACGTAGTCGGGAATGAGAGTCGACAGGATGTGGAGGTGGAGGGAGCAAACGTAATGGATGAATCGCTCGGTGGGGCCGGTTTGGCGGAGGTTGCAAATCAATGGTCTTTTGCGGACGGAAGGTGACGATGAGAAGGTCGGCCCATTGAAGGAAGGTGATGCGGGGAAGGCCGTTGGCTCACAGTTGTTGGCTTCAGTTAACCACCATTGAGCGTCGGCGCCTTGGAGGTGGGAGGTTGCGGTGGGGAGCCAATGAGCGAGGGGCATGTTGTGGAGATCGAAGGCATTTTGAATTTGAGAGAGGAAAAGGAGGACGTCCTCGTGGGG